TGCTGTCTATAAACCATACTTCTGCCATATTTATAGTTTCCCTTGATTCAACTCATTTTAGCACAATTTACCTTTGTATGTGCATTGTTTAAATTCACACTATTTGGCTGGAGAATTGGCATTGCAAAAACTTGAGAAGTGTACATTTAAAGGACAGACAATCCTGCAATTGTATAGTGGTACCTCGGGTTAAGAACTTAATTCCTTCTAGAGGTCCTTTCTTAACCTGAAACTCTTCTTAACCTGAAGCACCACTTTAGCTAATGGGGCCTCCCGCTGCTGCTGCACCGCCGGAGCACGATTTCTGTTCTCATCCTGAAGCAAAGTTCTTAACCCGAGGTACTATTTCTGGGTTAGCGGAGTCTGTAACCTGAAGCCACTGTAACCTGAAGTGTCTGTAACCTGAAGCGTATGTAACCCAAGGTACCACTGTAATAGGTTTTAAATGGTCTTAATTCTGAATCTTAATGTGTTGTAACCTTCACTGGGACCTGCTGGTGAATGGCAGGTAACAAATTAATATCACTGAAGAGTCTTAGAGGTTAGATGGCCAATGTCAGGGATTCTTTAGCTGTGATTACTGCATCGCAAGGGGTTAGACTAGATGGCCCTCCGGGTCCCTTCCAGCTCTTCAGTTCTATGACTCTATAGTGTTTAAGAAGACTGACTAGCTAGAAGGTGTGCAGAGGAAGGCAGCCAAGATGCTCAAGGGTCTGGAAGCCTCACATGGTACACTTGTTCAGCCATGGAACAGATTCCCTGAAGGTACTGGGCTCTCCTTCATTGGAGGTTTTGAAGCAGAGTTTGAATGGCTATCTGTCAGGGGTTATTTAGGCATGGTTTCTGCATTGCAGGGGGTTGGACTAGATGATCCTTGGGGTCCTTTCCACTTCTACAATTCTTTAATTCTGTAGTGTTTCAGACGGTGAAAATTTGGTAGAGCTGCCGTTTCATGCAAACTGAATCTAATTTCTTTCCCCATCCCTAAAGAGGGTGAAGGGTCTTTTTTTGGGGGGGGTAGGGGGGTTATTTGCAATTACATGCTACCCTCCTGAAAGGATGAACCCCTGCCCACTCCTTAGAAGTCTGATTGCCTAGAGCATGTCGTATCCTGCCAATTATGGAAGTGAAAGGCCCCATCAAATCCTTTGCTTACATTCCAAAGCCAGCTCTCATTCTCAAAGCAAACAGTGAGAGTTGTAAATCTCACCAGACCCGCAACACTTTTCCTGCGCTTCCTATGCCACAAAACACCCTCTCCTCTTCATGACCATAGGTTCAATAGCTCTGGGGAGGAACCTTTACCAGCTTTTAAAAATAAATAAATCAGCCACTCCTCACTTGGTCAGAGCTTTTCCTTCCCCTCTCCATGACAGATGAGGCTCACCCCACAATGAAAGGGAAAGCCAGCACTCTATAGCAGAAAGATCTCCATTGATGTCAGCCAGCTGACACAACTCTTGACAGCCTGTTCCTGGCAGCAGGGAGTATTTAAGGTGCACTTAATCCTCCTCAACACAGAGAGAAATCAATTAACAGTGCTAGGCAGCTGCTACAGTTGTCAAAAGTGCCCACAGGTGATATACCTAGGTGACTCAAAGCTGCTGCTTATTTTTGGTGCCTGGATTGACAGCTGCCTAGGCTGGCCAAAAAAATTTCAGTGTGGCTAGGAGCGCATTGGAACACTGGGTGAAGAGACCCAGTGCTTCCCAGCTCCACGATCCAGTGACTCGCCTAGTTCCAGCACCCTGTTCTCCTGGTGGCCAACCAGATGCCCCAATGGAAAGCCCACAAGCAAGTCCTCCCCAGTTTTGTTCCCCAGCAACCTGGCATTCAGAGGCAGGTAGCATATGGCCATCACAGCTAGTAGCCACCAATAGCTGCGTGGGTCCATTACCCTTAAAAAAAAATGTGTTGATGGGCATCACCACTGTCTTGTGGCTGCAAATGTCATAGTTTAATTAAGGGGGCAGAATTTATATGGAGCCATCGAGGCTTCTTGTTCTCTGTTGGGCTTCTTAGGGTGGGGAGTTTGCAAGCGTATAAGGCTGTAGGATTGGAAACCCACAACTCTATTAGCCTTTGCATCTATGACCAGCTGCTCCTCCCTCTCCCAAATCTGCTTTTGCACCATTTCCCTCTCTTAGCTATGCCCTCCCTACCCAGTCAACTCTGCTTCACCTCTTTTCCTTTACAAAAGAAACAAAACAAAACAGGACTTCACGCTTTTCTTTGGAAGGAACGCAGGTGCTTGAAGCAAGCCAGTCACATGTTCTCAAGGGGATTTCAGGGCCAGCTGAACACCAGCGGCACTTAAGATTCCTGTTCAGACTAGTCCTGCAGCAGTGCATTTAGATTCAGAGGTCTGGATACTGAACCATCACACTACGAGGGCTGCAAGTGTCAAGCGCTTTGAGTCTGTTGTGTGGGGTGGGGTGGGCAAAGAGGGTCCTTCAGGCCGCTTTCATCTGTGTGTCGAAAACATAAGAAGAGTCTTCTGCATCAGGCCACTGGCCCATCTAGTCCAGCATCCTGTTCTCACAGTGGCCAACTGGAAAGCAGCAAGCAGGATCCGAGCCCAAGAGCCCTCTCCCCTTCCCCTGTGGTTTCCAGCAACTGGTATTCAGAAGCATTAGAGCATAGCCCTCTTGGTTAGTAGCCCTCCATAGCCCTTTCCTCCATGCATTTGTCCAATCCTCTTTTTAAAACATCCAAGTTGATGGTCATCACTGCCTCCTGCAGAAGGGAGTTTCATAATTTACCTCTGTGCTGTAATTTTCATCTGTCCTGGGTCTTCCAGCATTCAGCTTCACTGTACGCCCACAGAGTGGTGGTGTTACGAGAGAGGGGAGGGGGGATTTTCTCTCTCCACTTTCTCCAGGCTGTACATAATTCCGTAAACTTCTATCATGTTGCCTCTTACTTGCCTTTTCTCCAAACTTAAGTCCCAGACGCTGTCTATGGATTAAGACACTTGAGACCCACCTCACAGCGGTACCTCGGGTTACATATGCTTCAGGTTACATACGCTTCAGGTTACAGACTCCACTAACCCAGAAACAGTACCTCGGGTTAAAAACTTTGCTTCAGGATGAGAACAGAAATTGTGCTCCGGCGGCACAGCAGCAACAGGAGGCCCCATTAGCTAAAGTGGTACCTCAGTTTAAGAACAGTTTCAGCTTAAGAACGGACCTCCAGAACAAATTAAGTTCTTAACCCGAGGTACCACTGTATTTATATCTGTGATTTTATATTGTTTTACACTCCTTTTTAATATTGTGTTTAAATTATTATAGCCTGCTGTGGGACCACCTTAGGGTGATGGGCGAGATAAAAGTAAAACAATTCACTGTTTAAGTTTGAGAGGTCAAGCCCAAATGGAATGTCTGTTTACTACCTGCTGTTATTGTATTATAACCTATAAAACCAATCTGGAGACAGGAGTCAAAGGGCAAAACAGTAGAAACCAAAGCCACCGTGGTGCAGTGGTTACAGTGTCAGACTAAGACCTGGGAGACCAGGGTTCGAATCCCCACTTGACCTGGAAGCTCACTGGGTGTTATCTTGGACAGTGCACTGCCTCTCTTAACCTAACCTACCTTACAGGGTTGTTGTGGGGATTAAATGAGGAGGGAGAGAACCACGTACAGTATGCCACTTTGAGATCCTCGGAGAAAAAAGGTAGGATATAAATGGCAATAAATAAAATAAAATAAATAAATGTGGCCAAAAACGGTTTGAAAAATAGTCCAAAATATTATCTCAGTTTGCATCTTTCTTTCTTTCTTTCTTTCTTTCTTTCTTTCTTTCTTTCTTTCTCTTTCTTTGGCTCCAAAAGCGCCAGATAACCTCTGTCTAAATATAGGTAGTTGTATCCAATGCTTGTCTTACTCAGAGTAAACCCACTTAAGTTAATGGGCACAACTAACTTAAGTCCACAAATTTCAGCAGGTACTACTCTGAGCAGAACCAGCTCACAAGTTCTGTACGTTGAAACAATGCATAGTTTTAGCCTTACCACTATACGTTTTATCCTCCCTTCACCCTAAGACTGCGTCACTGGTGCTGGTACAGTTGTGTTTTTCATGGTAATTAGTTGTTGTTGTTTTTTTAAAAAAAGAACAAGAATGTTTTGTTTTTCTTTTGTTTTGTTTTTAAAAAACTGCTACCAAACTGGATGGGAACCCTGCTGATCAACCTCAAGTAGATTAGTAGAGGAATTAACCATACCCTCCTTGAGGCAACAACTAATGAAGCCTTTCTGGGAGGAATGAGAGGTGCAATTTCTGAGAAGTGCAAGCGTTTTTTTTAATTGGGCATTACGTACTAAAGATTTGCTCCTGCCTTCGGCCAATTTAATTTGCTGGCTTCCGCACTGAAAAAGAACACTAGCTCTGTTCCACTTGCGTCTTTCCCTGGTCAAGCCAAGCAGCAAATTGTTTCTTTGGCATTCTTTGTATGTTTGTAAATAGATAGATTCTGTAGATATAGATACAGATACTGTATATAAAATTTCTGTGCTTAAGGGAAACTGAGATGTGATCTGTTGCATCTAGGGAAGAATTCTAAACTTTAAATGTCACTAGATGTGACTAAATGTTTAGCTGGAACTTCCTGCATTGCAGGAGGTTGGACCAGAGACCCTTTGGGCCCCTCCCAATGCTAGAATTCTACAATTTTATTATAGTATGATTCTATGACTTTCACCTCCATCCCCACTCAGGATGCACGAATCTGTCCATTTTGCCCCCCCCCCCCATTTCCCCAAACTTCTCCACAACTCTGGAGTGGCCTGTGGAGTTACCATCAATATGTCCTCAGTGATGCTAGGGGCGGCCAATCACATGGGAAGAGGGAAGGAACAACACAAAGCAGCTTCAAAATCTACATCACTGGTTAGCCATGGAAAGCAGAGCCAGCAATTGATTGGCTGAAGTGCAAGGGAAAGATGGCCTCCTAATGGTGCAAAGAGGAGTTTTGTTTTTATTTTTAAAACTCACCTGCGGCATCGCTCCACATCAGGGTCTTCCCTGTGGTATTGCAACCCTCCGTGCCTCAGAGCATCCTCCGGATTGGCAAATGCCTGGAGGAAAACAAGGATCAATTAGTTCACGGCAGGTTCATAATAAGAACTTTCTCCCTGCATCTCCCCACATTGTAAGCAGTTTTGCTAAAAGCACAATTGCTGACAGAAGCGAGGCACTTTTGGCATATCACGCTTGTGCCAAGGTCAAGGTGTTACTATCAGTATATAAAGCCCTTAACAACTTGGCGCCAGTTCACCTGCAAGATTACCTTACCCCAAATCCGTCCACTCAGCCGCTTTGATCTAAGGAACTAGCCCTGTTACAGGTACCATGTCATACCTGTCTTTAAACTTTGGAACTCCCTGCCTATTGATGTCAGGCCTCCACCTTTTCTGTACTTGTTTTGGTTTCTGTACTTAGAGTTGGTCTCTAAGGTGCTACTGGACAATTTTTTAATTAATTTAATTATTTTGACTTATTTTGACTGCATCAGAACAACACCTACCTGAATCTGTACTTGTTTTGTTTAGACAAACCATCGAAAGCTGATGCAAATTTCAACCTGCTTTTGGTTTATTGTTATTTTAATTTTCCAAAAGGCTTAAATTATTTTTTCTTATTCCTTTGTCTATTTTGCAAATAGCTTTAAGGTTACTGTGTTTTGTTTTACAACCAAGCAGGGTATACATTTTAGGAAATAAATAAATAAATTTTCCGATGGAGGAGCCATCAAGAGTGAAGCCTACCTGTCAGAATAATCTCTGGCTAGACTGAGCCTTTCCCCAAGGCGAGCAAGGTTCTGTTTTACTTTGTTATTTCCTCCATGCACACTGGCCACAGACCACATACTTCCTGGAACAACAAAAGCCCTTTGGGCAGATCCTGTCTTTGGGCAGGAGTTGGGGTGGCCTGGGTAGCCATTGGCACAAAGGAGGGTTGCTGGATCCGCAAAAACTCTCAAGGTTCACACAGGAGAAAATGGTCCCTGAACAAGCCATCCAGGAACTCATGTCACAAATTGTGGGGAGGGGCCACAGCTCAGTGACAGAGCATCTGCACTGCATGCAGAAGGTCCTAGGTTCAATCCCAAGTGGCATCTCCAGGTAGGGCTGGGAGAGACACCTGATACCCCAGACAGTTGCTGCCAGCCAGTGTAGACAATACTGAGCTAGATGGAACATGTTTGACTTGGCATAAGGCATCTCCCTAGGCTCCTGTTTAATCTAGCCCTTTATTCACAGCCACATGAACTAGAATCTTGCTTCATTGCCTAAGGAATCCTGGGAACTGTTAAGGGTGTTGAGAGGAAATATGATAGCCACCTTCAAGTTTCTGAATGGCTGTCCCACGAAAGATGGAGCAAGCTTGTTTTCTCCCATTCTGGCGGGTAGGATCCAAACCAATGGCTTCAAATTGCAAGAAAGGAGATTCCGACTAAACATCAAGAAGAACTTTCTGGCAGTAAGAGCTGCTCGACAGTGGAACAGACCCCCACGAGAGGTGGGGACTCCCCTTCCTTGGATGTTTTTAAGCAGAGGTTGGGTGGCCACCTGTCATGGATGCTCTAGTTGAGTTTTCTGCATTGCAGGGGCTTCGATTAGATGACCTTTGGTGTCTCTTCTGACACTACAATTCCATGAGTTGTCAGGACATCTCCATTCCCCCACAGAGCTACAACTATCAAAGTTCCCTGGGAAGAGAGATTGATGCAGAAATCCTGGGAGGGGAAATAGAGGTCTCCTAACAACTGGGTTGAGGGACGCAGGTGGTGCTGTGGGTAAAAGCCTCAGCGCCTAGGACTTGCCGATCGCATGGTCGGCGGTGCAAATCCCTGCGGCGGGGTGCGCTCCCGTTGCTCGGTCCCAGCGCCTGCCAACCTAGCAGTTCGAAAGCACCCTCGGGTGCAAGTAGATAAATAGGGACCGCTTTATAGCGGGAAGGTAAACGGTGTTTCCGTGTGTGGCTCTGGCTCGCCAGAGCAGCTTCGTCACACTGGCCACTTGCCCCGGAAGTGTCTGCGGACAGCGCTGGCTCCCGGCCTCTAGAGTGAGATGAGCGCACAACCCTAGAGTCTGGCAAGACTGGCCCGTATGGGCAGGGGTACCTTTACCTTTTAACAACTGGGTTAAACCACAGAGCCTAGGACTTGCCGATCAGAAGGTCGGCTGTTTGAATCCCCGCGACGGGGTGAGCTCCCGTTCCTCAGTCCCTGCTTCTGCCAACCCAGCAGTTCGAAAGCACGTCAAAGTGCAAGTAGATAAATAGGTAGTGCAAGTAGATAAATAGGTACCGCTCTGGGGGAAGGTAAACGGCGTTTCCATGCGCTGCTCTGGTTCGCCAGAAGCGGTTTAGTCATGCTGGCCACATGACCCAGAAGCTGTACGCCGGCTCCCTCAGCCAATAAAGCGAGATGAGCGCCGCAACCCCAGAGTCGGTCACGACTGGACTTAATGGTCAGGGGTCCCTTTACCTTTAACAACTTTTAGGACCCTTAAAAAACTTGGTGGGAATTTTACAAGAGCAGAGTCTGGCTATGAATAAACAACTCACGACCTTGACTTCTGGAATAAGCAGCTCTGCTGAATGTGAGAAAAAATCTGCAGCTGAATTGGAAGAGATATCTCAAGAACTGAAGGAGACTAAACAAGGAAAGGAGAAAGTACAGATGGAAAGCAACAACCAGAAGCCTATACATGTGGATTATAAACAAGAAGACCCTTGGATTACATGGAATACAAATCTGCAAAAGATGCGAAAGACGAAGGAGGAGCCCCCTGGAGTACCTGGAATTCAAGAACTCAAAAGAAAGAAGAAATATGATTGGGGCCTCCATTCTGAATATGAAGGACTGGTGGAACTTTTGCAGCAGTTGTTTCTAAGTTTCCTGGTGGGAAGAAAACCTGGCTTGATTGGGATAGAACTCCTTCGAGACCCAAAGGCCAACATAAAGGACTACCAACAAAACCGGCGGAGAGGGACTGAAAGAGACTTGAAAGCCTCGAATGTCAGGAATCCAGGCTAAGAACTGTTATTGTGGACAAGTACTTGGGAAGGGACGAACCGGGGAGGGGAGGGGGGGGGAAACAGAATTTTTTTCTTTTTTCTTTTTTTAAATATACTAATGATTTTTGGGTCTAGTCAATATGATTGATGTTTAATAAAAAATGGGAAATCGATGGAAGGGAATTTGAGTCCAACTTAGGACAGAACTAATTTTTTTTTTTTTATAAAAGATGCAATACTAACATGGTAAGGAGAGAAAACAATAACTTGCTGACATAATTATGGGAATTGGGATGTATGAAGGGGGGGTGGGGGGAAGTCAAGGACCAAAGTTAAGAAAGTAAGATTTTCGAAATTATACATGTTCTTTGTCTTTGTCTTATACGTGTGTGTTATGTCTTTATAAAATGTGAAAAACCAATAAAAATTATTTGGGAAAAAAATTTAAAAACTGCAGTTCCCAGGTTTTTTTTTGGGGGGGGACACCATGGCTGTTTAACATAATATGATACTGCTTTAAATGAATTGTGTAGATGAGGCTCCGACAAACCCATACATTTAAAACATGACTTCTCCACTCCCAAAGAATCCCTCAAGCTGCTGTTTGTTCAGGGTGCCAATACATAGTCTTTACCTAGCATTTGGTAGCTTCCTGTGTTTACTAAGGAAGACCTACAAGGCCATGAGGACTAGTTTCTTGTGTGCCAAACCACAATTTGGCAATCTGCCTTGTAACCTATTCGCAGGATTTTATGCGAATGAACTCAGCTCCAGAACATCTGACAAAGATGACTGCAACTTCACACTTGAGGCATGAAAGTGCCAAGTTCTGGCCCCTCCCAGGAGCAGCCTCGGGTCATAAGTGTCCTCTCAGCTCTAAAATTAATTACCAGCTTCCTTGAGGAAGTGGTGGAGACTGTGGAATGCTTACACTTGAAGCAAACTAGTCCCAGCAGAACCCCTTCAGGGAGTGCAGAAGCACTGATTGGCATTGCTCTCTGCAGATCGCACAACTTCTGATTGCAGGGATGGGGGAGAGAAGAGAAGGCAGGCTGGTGCACGAATGCTCCCCGCATGGAAAGGCAATCTCCATGCAACAGGGAGAGGCTGGGGCAGAACCTCCCCCCCCCGCCCCCCCATATCCCAGTTTGCCAAGTGTGCAGAATTTTTTTAATATGATGATGATGATGATATGGGAAGTATTGATTCATTCTTTTAATTTATGCTAGACTGAATGTATAAACATGTTTTTTGCTTCAAATATTGTAAGATACTTTGAGTCGCCATGGCAAAAAAGTGGACCAATAAATTTAATTAATAATTATAATTGGAACCACAAGGAATGGTTGAATATGCCATAGTTGGTTTCTCCAGTTTTCTCCTTTTCCCTGTCTTAAACTCACTTCTCAACATTTCCACATCAGCTTGCAATTTATTTATTTACTTTTAAAAGCCCCGATGTTAAAAACCCAGCATTTTAATATGAATTCCTCCAACACACACACACATTTCTTCATGAAACTTTGTCAATCTCATTATTCTTTTCTGCAAATAATATTTCTCCATATATTTATATCCCCCCCCAAATATGATACATTTCTGCACATTATTTTTGTGAACATATGCATTTTTTTGCACATTTCCCCCAGATGTGGGCATTTTCAGGCAGATTACCTGGCTGGGAAACTGCAAAAATGCAGAGATGTGCAGATTTCAAAGGATTGATGCGTTTTGGTTCCCATACTCTTTGTAAAGCACACATTAGGTAGATTTGCCTTTTAAATGCAAACAGAATTGAAATTTCCCTCCATCCCTCCTCTGAACCTGCTACCGCCCCATGCATGTTGAAGTAGCATATTTCCGAAAAACACCGCCAGCTGGTTTTATAAATTGGCCAAATATAGTTTGTGCATTCAGTGCAGCAAGAGATGGTGCCTCTGAGTTATTTTCTAGCATTCTACATGTGGGGAAAGGCTGGATTGGCTTGCAAGCTTTCTACAAGTGTGGGGCTCTGTGTGTGTGGGAGGGGGGAGCAACTAAATATGCAACTAAATATGCAATCAAAGCTTTAGCCCTCAATTCTGTTCATTCTGTAACTCAGCCTCAGAGACAGAAGATGTGAGATGTCTTCAGACTGTGCTCAAAGACGGATGTTTTAGAATAGTTTCGCCACTCCAGGAGATTATGAGCTTTACAGAGAGTGTATAATAAAAAGCGAAGACTGCTTCTTCCCATTCCAACAGGCTTTTATCAGCATTTTGGGAGATTTAGTAGAACATTCCACCCAACGTCACTGGCTGCATGGCTGTGTCTGTGCCTGGTGATTTACCACAACTGTCTCAAGTTTGTTGCACCACCTAATGCAAGGTGGCAGTCTCTTATGAATAAACCCCAGGTTGTGAAAGGAGTTCCATAAGCCATGCTCTTTAAAACATTCCAAAAGATTATTAAAGCAACCACCACCTCCAATAAGTCCACAGCTTAAACTGCAGTAAAATCCTGTTTTGGTATTCCAGTTACAGTCACCATTTTGGGTTTCTTAATTTGAAACAGTCAGGATTAGATTATTTCTGGTTGCCTTTTCATTAAAAGTTCCAGGCATTGCTTGCATCACAATTGCAGAGGTTTTGGCATTGGATCACTTCCAATTTCTTAAAAGATCCAGCACCTAATCCTGGATGTTGCAATGATCTGTTTTGAAAACGGAGAATGTACAGACCCTGTTTGGAAGCTAGCAAGTGTCCATTGGAAGCCAGCTCACTATTTTGAAAACAAGCATCTCAATTCCTTTCCAAGACAAAGTTCTTTTAAAAGAATGATGACAAGGATGGTTTTGAAAGCCTGGAGCAATCCAAGGCCATTGGCTAACCCTGGTTGACAATTGTCCAGATCCCCCTTCAAATCCCTGAAGGAGTTATTTTGCAACTATTTGGGATTTTTCTAAAAATGAATTATAATGTGAATTACCGATGGATAATTTGCATTACTTTTAACATTTCAGGAAAGCACTTGAAACCTGGAGGGAGTGGTCAGATATCAAACAAAGAGTCTACTGAGAATGGACCCACTGAAATTAAGAGATCTGAGTTATTAATCATGGCCATTATCTTCAATGGGTCTACTCTAAGTAGGACTAGCATTGACCACAATCCCTGAAGTTTAAACTTCCTTTTCTCTCTGATGGGTGATGTTTTGCAGCCTGAAGGTCACATTCCCTCCAGAGCAATCTTCAGTGGGCTGCATACCTTTGGTGGGCCTGGACAGAGGGAAAAGTGGGTGCAGAGACTGACTTTCTACAGTAGCCTAGGTTCAACTCACACAACTTTCAGAGTCTTGTACTGTATATGCAAACACACACCACTCTCTTCAGCACCCACCCAAAAGCAATACAGATTTATGGTTCCCCCACAATGAATACTGTATTGTTTTGGAGCGGGTGCAATAGGAATAATAGGATAAGGAAAAGATTGTCAGGAAAGACTGGGGAATGTCACCTGCTCCTCAGATATGTCCCTGTTACCCCAAAGACTGTTGGTATGGTGGACCTCTGCCCACTCTCCACAGTGGAATTTTTGTGGGAACTCTGCCTCCTCTCCTTGGAAAACAGATCTCTCCATTTACTTGCGTAGGGAAAGGGGTGTTGGGGTAAACCTTGGCCCCCCCCAGCATAATCCACATGGGGGAGGGAATAGTTTTTAATCCCTCCACTGAATCATTAGGTGGAAATTAGTTCATTATGATTAAAATCTAGAGCTGTTCATCAAACAGTTTTCTGCTTCGCTACTCCTATTTTGGTTGAGCTCAGTTAGCTTTCCCTAGTTAGCTTGCTTTTGTTATACTGAAAACTAAAAACTAAAATTCAGACATCACATAAAAATGGAACATTTGCTTTATCCCCCAGCTCTACAAAACAACTTGGGACCTTGGGAAGGCACCATGCCTGGTTAATGGCTTGATCCAACTTTGACACACAGAAACCTCCACAAAATCCCCCTATTTGCTTTGTAATTTGGGAAGTCGGCAGTTGGCCACGAACCCTCTCCCCCAACACACAGTGCAGGTTTGGGCACCATCTGAAGTGGGTCCAAAAAGAGATCAACTGTGTTCTGGTTTGTTTTATTGCATCCTAGACAACCACCTATAACTGCAGAACATAGCAGTCAAGTTTTCTTTTTCCAAATAACAAGAAGTGAAAGCTAGATTTCCAAGAAGTACTTGAGAAGGCATTCCTTCCCTTTAGGGAACAGGAAAGAAACTACAGCTTTTTTAAAAAAGAGACAAAACAAACTCATTATTTTTAACATCACTCAAACTTCCGCTAAGCAGAAGTCCCGCTAAGAACATCAGAAGTATGGACTAGATCAGGCTAGTAGCCCGTCTAGCCAGCCACCTGCTCTCTCAGTGGCCAAAAAGATGTGCATTATGGGAAACCTACAAGCAGGATCAGAGCACAAGGGCACTCTCCCCTTCTGTGGTTTCCAGCAACTGAGATAGAGAAAGACATACTGCAGCGCAAGGCAGCAGCAACAATTCTAGGCTGGATCAAGTCTAGTACAGTGGTACCTCTGGTTGCGAACGGGATCCGTTCCGGAGGCCCATTCACAATATGAAAAGAACGCAAACCGCAGCGGCACTTCTGCGCACGCGTGGGTTGCGACTTGCAACTTCTGTGCATGCGCGTGGCATCCTTTTGCGCTTCTGCGCATGCGCGAGCAGCGAAACCAGGAAGTAACCCTTTCCAGTACTTCCAGGTCGCTGCGGGACATAACTTGAAATAACGTAACATGAAGCAAACGTAACATGAGGTATGACTGTATCCAGATCAAGGAAAGTAATAGTACTGCTCTATTCTGCCTTGATCAGCTCCCCTGCTCCCACTGGAATCTTGCGCCCAGTTCTGGGCAACACAATTTCAGAATGATATTGACAAGCTGGGAGATGAGGCAGAGGAGGGCGACCAAGATGATAAAATGTCTGGAAACTAAGCCTTACAAGGAACATTGAGGAAGTTGGGTATGTTTAACTTGGAGAAGAGAAGACTGAGAGGTGACCCAATAGCTATCTTCAAATACAGTGGTACCTAGTGTTATGTACTTAATCCATTCTGGAGGTCCGTTTGTAACAGGAAACTGCTTGTAACATGAGGCGCGCTTTCGCTAATGGCGCCTCCCACTGCTGCCACACCACCGTAGCGCGACTTCCGCTCACATCCTGGGGGGAAAGGTCACAAGGGGCACCTACTTCCGGGTTAGAGGAATGCGTAACCCGCAGCATTTGTAAGGGGGACGGTACATAACACGAGGTACCACTGTATCTGAAAGGCTGCCACATGGAAAATGGTTGAAGCTTGTTTTCTGATGCTGCAGAGGGCAGGACCTGACCCAATGGATACAAATGACGAGAAAGGCGATTCCAACTAAACATTAGGTAGAACTTTCTGATAGCAAGAGCCATTTGAGGGTGGAACAGACTCCCCCTGGGAAGGCGGTGAACAATCCTCCATTGGATGTTTTTAAACAGAGATTGGATAGCTGTCTGTCAAGGGTTTCTTTGGCTACGAGTCCTGCATTGCTGGGTGTTGGACTAGATGACCCATGGGGAGTCCCCACAGTTCTATGATCCTATGATCTGTGCACAGGATAGTATATAAGTGGTTATTCACAATCCTGCTTTCAACATTGCAAAAGTTTCAGGGTGGCCAGACTGCTTCGTCCCCAGTCAATGCTATATAACTCAAGAGTGCCCCTCCAAACTGCTGGGCAAGCATAGCAAAATAACTAAGAAGGTGGAATGATGTATAGACAGTCATTTCCCTCCTGCAAATTTCCTTTGTTAGTGTTATCATTACTACAACTGTAAAGGCAATTGAAATCCTCCTTCTTGGGGTGGGGTGGGGAAGAATGCACACCATAGATGCTGTCTACCGAACTGGCTGAAGGAGTTAACTTTGCACAGCAATCAGAAGAATGATCACCCATTTAAGATTTGGAAGAGCTTTCAGCAATGTTTTTCTTCAGGCTGCTCACCACTACTCTGCCTTGGTCATCATTCTAAGGGGGCTGATTTAGCTCTGCGTAAAGTTGTCATGTGAACACAAAAACACATTCGGATTGTGTGGCTTCTACACTATTGGCAATCCTGCTCCAATGGAACAAAAATCAGATTGAAAACAAGAGACCTGGTTCTAAATTAGTTACAGGAGTGTCAACTTCGCCATATATTGGCAAATTAGTCACTTAAAATGCCTGCTACTAGATCCTTGACTAATTTTGAATCTACTGAACTGAATCAAGGACACAGAAGCAAAACACGGGTCTCTGTTATTTATGAAGAGCTCCAGGTGCTCACCATTGGTCCCTTGGTGGGCCTTAAAAGTTACTGGAACAAGGATTTAAATATTCAAATAGAAGAATCTGAAAGATGGGTTAGCTTTTTTTTTATTTTAACACCTCAAACCCCCCCATCAAATTCCGATTGGGAAGTCTCTCATAAAAATTCCACAACCTGTTTAACATTTCTGGTTTCCCTTTTTCTTTTTTGCAAAGTGTGTTCAAAGCCCAGTTTGGGGGGAAATGTAAACAGATGCAAGGCAGAGAAAGCTAAACAGTGGCATCTATTAAATGCATGAAATGAGATCACAACTTGCTGCAAAATACCAAAAAGTTAAAGAGAACCATTTTCAAAAGCCACATGGAGGGTACAAACTCCTTCTACAATCACACAAGTGCCATTATTTTTTTTTAAAAAAGAATGACTTGCCTACCTTTTTGCGAAGCCTCACTTGCCCTGTTATGACGGCTACAGCATACATCTTTATGACCAAAAGGGTGCCAAAGAATATGAAAGACACGAAGGCTTCATTCTCCATCATTTTCTGCATGGGAAGCGAAGGATCGATGCTGTTTCCTGAGAGAGTGGGTTGGGGTGGAGAGAGAGAGAAACAGACAGAGAGACAGAGATCTGGAGCTCGTTTTTCCTTCTGAGGTCTGAAAACTAGTGCCAGATTATATCATGTAAGAAAGGGGTTGGATCAACATTAATCACCAGATCTACTCTTTGGATGGAGCCTCTACCAGTCAGCATTGCAACATGCAACCCTTTGGATTTATATTCAGAAGTTCCATTATTTGTTTATTTGTTGTTGTTGCTGCTGCTGTTGCTCCCCACCCTTCACCATCAGGTGAATTTAAAATTCAGTATTACAAACCGTTTAAAACAAGTTACAATCACAGGAAGGGGGTGGGTCCTGAAAACCTATATTCCAGATGCAATGGCTATAAGCCAGGATAACTATGCTCTGCTTCCACGATCAGAGGCAGGAATGCTTATGAATAGCAGTTGCTATTCATAACACAGGAGCCGAGTTAGGGCTATTGTGCTCTGATCCTGCCTGCAGGTTTCCCATTGGGGGATCTCACTGGCTGCTGTGAGAACTGGATGCTGGACTAGATGGGCCATTGGCCTGAGCTTGTAAGGCTGCTCATATGGAAGTCTATTGTGATAGCAGAACCTCCATGCTCAAAGACAGTCTACCTTTGTATACCAGATAATGGGGAACAACAGTTGCACTCAGGTCTTGCTTGGGGACATCCCATAACGGGCATTTGGTTGGTCACTATGAGGACAGAATGCTGGACTCGATGGGCCATGGGCTTGATCCAGCAGGGCTCTTCTCATGTTCTTAGGTGTCCAAGGTTAGGGTAAAGAGGGGTGTCTTTGACATATGATGGACACTGTCCAATGAAGATGTCAGATGCACCTCTGTGGGGACGAAGTTCCACAACTTAGGTGCTCATCACAGCTATCTGCCAATCACCCATTCCCACCACCCTTCTGAGTAATACCCCTCCCCACCTTCTCACTATATAGAAGGATCTGGCAACCTCTGTTTCAGTGTATCTGAAGAAGTGTGCATGCACACGAAAGCTCATACCAAGAACTAACTTAGTTGGTCTTTAAGGTGCTACTGGAAGGAATTTTTTTTTGTTTTAACTTAGGTGCTGCCACAAATAAGTTCCTCTCTGGGGCTGCCAGCATCCTGAATGCCTCAGGACAGTAGAACTACCAAGATGACCCCCTCTGCTGATCTTAACACCCAAGAGGGTGGTGTTGGAGGAGAACTCTCAGATCTTTTCTGCCCAAGTTGTTGAGGGCTTTAAACACAAATGTGAACACCTTGAATCGGGCCCAGAAATAGACTGGCAATCAGGAAAAGAGAGCAGAGAATCACTGCTTAAGGCAGGCACCCCCAAACTCGGCCCTCCAGATGTTTTGGGACTACAATTCCAGTCATCCCTGACCACTGGTCCTGTTAGCCAGGGATGATGGGAGTTGTAGTCCCAAAACATCTGGAGGGTTGAGTTTGGAGATGCCAGGCTTAAGGCAAACAAACCACACAGGTTTAAGATTAACCACCACCTCCTTTAAGTGTCAGGGGTTGGGCAAGATTTAGAGGCATGGCAGTTCTATAGCATACAGACCTTACAAGTGTCCCTTTTCCAGGGTAATCCCAGATTTACAGAAGCCATCCCGGTTTCTGATTTGATCCCAGAATGTCCCGCTTTTCGTTAGGATGTCCCTATTTTCATTGGAGAAATGTTGGAGGGTATGGATCTGACCCTCCCAGCTATCCCTGTATAGGGAAGGTTTTTATTTTTTAAAATGTTTAATGTTTTATTATGTTTTTATATACGGTATGTTGAAAGCCTCCCCGAGTGGCAACCCAGTCAGATGCTTGGAATATAAATAGTAAAAAAAAGAATTTCTTATTTTTATGGAATAGGACTTTCCTATTTTCAGCAGAGAAATGTTGGAGGGTATGAACATGTTGCTTGGAAACAACGTTGAGGTTTTTTGAGAAACTCCAGGTTAATCACCGAGACTCGTGAAATTCTGGCTAGACCATGGTTGCAGACATGCCAGTCACCTTTCTCTGAAATCTGTAACTGCAATGGCAATGGAGGGCATTGCACAATTACATCATGCCCACAGAGAGAGCAACATCAGGTTAGCATTCCCAAGATGTGCCTTCAAACAGAGCTAAGGAACATTTAGACCTCAAGAAGTGGGTGGTACTCCATGCTCCCCATCCCTTTTCTAAGAAGGAGCACCCCCTCCCCTTCATGCAAGAGATGCTCCTGATTTAAAAAAGGCATTGCCTCATGGGGGGTGGGTGGGTGGGGGCGGGGAATGCCTCTCCTAAGGTGGCCCACCACATATTCATTGGAACCCAATTCCCATCAGCCCCAGCCACCATGGCAAACAGTCCAGGAATGATGGGAGTTTGAGTCCAAAGACACCTGGAGAGTCACAGCTTATCCTGTCCTGCCTGAAAATCCTCTGGAATGCATCGGGGTTTCGTGGCTGCAGTTAGGGGGCTCTTTAACAAGACAGGGCTTGTCATGGAACAACTTGCAAAGGATTCCCAGAAAATCAGCCAACACAGAAGTTCCTTAAATAAATCTGCATATAAGGTGTGGAGAGCCTCTGGCCCAAAATACGTTTCTGGACTGCAACTCCCATCAGCCCCAGCAGGCATGGGTCCCCACACCAGTGGCAGACCTTGGGATCTCAAATTTCAGTGCCCAGTACAGCTGACACCTGGCCTACAGGGACAGCCAGAAGCTCACCAGGATGTCAGGCAATAGTACTGTATCTCCTAAGCCTGGCTTCTTCTGCATGTAAAACACATTATCTGCCACTGAGCTATGACCCTTCCCATGAAAATAAGATTCTAGTCCTCATAACAGTGGCACCCCCAGAGTCTCTCGCCACTCAGAGATCTGGAGCAGGCTACAATGTGATTTTATGGGAAAGGGCCATAGCTCTGTGGTAGAGAATCTGCCTCGCATGCAGAAAGTCCATGATTCAGTCCCCGGCCTTGCCAGGTAGTTCCAGGAATGTTCCCTGCCTGAAATCCCAGACAGCTGCTGCCAGTCAGTGTAGACAATACTGAGCTAGATGAACCCAGCCATCTGACTCAGCTTCCTGTGCTGATTCAGCTTTTTATTCAGAACAACAGGGACTAGAATTTTACTTTATTTTTTTAAGGGGAAGTGCACAGCTCTGCGTTACTTTATTACTTTATTTTATTTTTTTAAGGGGAAGTGCACAGCTCTGCGTTAGAGCACCTGCCTTGCTTGCAGAATGCCCCTGCTTCAGTCCCCTGTGGCATCTCCAGGTAGGGCTGGGAAACATTTTGCCCCATCAGCTTCTGTCAGCCAGCACCAGACAGCCTCCTTGATTACAACCAATCAGAGAACCACTCTATTAAGTAGTGGGTGGACATAGCAGATGACACAGAGCTTTCTCCAAGTAGTTCATAGAATCATAAAATTATAGAATCATAGAATCATAGAATTATAGAATCATAGAGTTGGAATAGACCACAAGGGCCATCGAGTCCAACCCCCTGCCATGCAGGAAACACCATCAGAGCACTCCTGACATATGGTTGTCAAGCCTCTGCTTAAAGACCTCCAAAGAAGGAGACTCCACCACACTCCTTGGCAGCAAATTCCACTGTCGAACAGCTCTTACTGTCAGGAAGTTCTTCCTAATGTTTAGGTGGAATCTTCTTTCTTGTAGTTTGGATCCATTGCTCCGTGTCCGCTTCTCTGGAGCAGCAGAAAACAACCTTTCTCCCTCCTCTATATGACATCCTTTTATATATTTGAACATGGCTATCATATCACCCTTAACCTCCTCTTCTCCAGGCTAAACATGCCCAGCTCCCTTAGCCCTTCCTCATAAGGCATCGTTTCCAGTTCTTTATAAGTACAGTGGTACCTCGGGTTACATACGCTTCAGGTTACATACGCTTCAGGTTACAGACTCCACTAACCCAGAAATAGTGCTTCAGGTTAAGAACTTTGCTTCAGGTTGAGAACAGAAATCGCATGGCGGCGGCAGCAGGAGGCTCCATTAGCTAAAGTGGTGCTTCAGGTTAAGAACAGTTTCAGGTTAAGTATGGACCTCCAGAACGCATTAAGTACTTAAGCCGAGGTACCACTGTAAGCTGGAACTGAACTGAACAGCAAACAGCTCAGTTGGCCTGCTTTTATAGGCAAGCCACCTGTCAACATTCTAACAACAAAAGCCCAGGGTTTCCTGCCTAAATTAACTTACGTGGACCTGAGTTAAAACTATATACAGTGGTACCTCTGGATGCGAACGGGATCCATTCCGGAGCTCTGTTTGCATCCTGAGCAGAACGCACCCCACGTCTGCATGTGCGTTGGTCACGATTTGCCACTTCTGCGCATGCGCGGGATGTCATTTAGAGCATCTGCACATGCGTCAGCAGCGAAACCCGGAAGTAACCCATTCCGTTACATCTGGGTCGCCGCAGAACACAACTTGAAAACGCTCAACCTGAAGCGTATTTAACCCGAGGTATGACTGTACACAATACCCCTGGTGGCTAGGGTGAGAACTTCAATACATAACACACTCTCCCTGTCATTGTCTCTGACTCTTCTTACTAGCCTGCTTTCCAGTCTACTGGTCCTGATGGGCACCAAGAGAGCCTCAGAGAACCCCATAGAGCCCAAGTACCACAAACCTCACTTGGTGCAAGAACCCAACAGGCAATACAATCCTGACATGTTCTGCCATATAGTCAGCCAATCCCAAAAGGAAATGGCCCATAAGGAAAGGGGGGGGGATATGGATGGAGGGAAAGAAATAGACAAGCTTTGATGTTGGTGGAAGGGTGGCAGCCAACAGCTGAGAGAGCTCCTGCCCCTTTAAGAGATATGCAAAGGAAAACCTTACAGCAAGTGTGGCTTTCCACCTACTGAAAACAAAGTCCTCTTCTGCCCAGGTGTTAAAGGGGCAGGAGTGCTCTCTGCTTTTCACACCTGGCCAGTTTCCTTGATTGCATGCATGGACACCCCACTTGTTCCTCCAAGGAGCTCAAGGTGGCATCCATGGTCCTCCTCATTTAATGCCCACACCAACCCTGCCAGGTATTGTAAAAAGTCATTGGAAGGGCAAGGTCCAAGTTTGGGGTGTGTGCTCTTTGGTGAGAGAACCCCGGCAGAGGTTTAACATGGCCAAGCATGCAGCAAAGAAAAGTGTGGAAATATAAGCTGTAAAACCTTTAACACATGCCTTTAACGTATCCCACTTGCCGAGCACAGATAGACCACATGTTTAGTCCTTTCCCTTCACTCAGACAAAGAGATGGAAGAGGCAAGCAACAGCAGCAGGTGGTTCCAGAGGGAAACAGAGCAACATCTAACTAGCCCAGGGAACTTGGCAGTTGCTCAACAATGGAAAGCTCCACTGCCAGCCCCAGACTGAACTTCCAGAGGCCCCAAGGTATAAACTAAAACGCTGAAGCTTTACAATTCACACACCCATAAAGAACAATTTCTCTCTCTAAAAGAGAGAGGAGTCAGAAAATAGGGGGTGGCCCCTGGTCAACAAAAGGCAGTTATAAAACAGGGGGTGGGGGTGTTTGCAAGATTGCAGCATTTTGGAAAACACTGCCTTGCTTCCGGCTTGGAATGGAATGCTAATTTGTTTTGCAAATGAATTCCTGATGTGACATTCTGGAGCACAGAAAGCATCCCTCATGCTTGGCTCCCAGACAAAAGTTGCATTCCAAGACTGAGGGCCGGGTGGGGGGTGGGGGAGCAAGTGGATCCCAGCCAATAACACACTTACCACTAGAATGGATTGAGAGTAGGAGCGACAGCAACTTTCCTATAAGAAGAACCACATCCCTGATTACTTCAGGATAAACACAGCTCAGCCATTCAGCAAAGGACTCCTCCAGCTGCTCTGATAGCAGGCTCTGATATAGGGGTGGGAAGCTGTCACGTGTACCTCTTCTCCAGCCAAACAGAAGAAGAGGGAGGGGCACCACTGAGATACTTGTCATGCAAAGTTCCTATTTGCCTCTTCACAGGGGTGCCCCCCAAACCATAGTTAGTTTGGGGTATCACCCATTTGCATAGCTCACGCAGGAGCCCCAGGTTCAGCACCTAAAGCATTTCCAGGTGGGGCAGGGAATGAACCCTCTATGAAACCCTGGAGAGCTGCTGCCAGTCAGTGTAGGTAATATAAAGCTAGATGGGGAAATTGTCCAACTTTGTGTAAGGCAGCTTCCCGTGCTCCTGTTTAAAGCAGCCTTTAAATCTGAACCATAAGGACTTTCTGCTTGGTGTACATAAAGTCTCAGGTTCAATCCCTGACAACATCTCCAGATAGGACTGGGAATGATCCCTGCCTGAAACCACAGAGAGTCACTGCCAGTCAGTGTCGACAGTGTGGATCTAGATGTCATAACAACAGCAAGTGGACATTTTCACCTCTGCTCTTTAAAAGCAGGAAGAACATTGAACCTGGTACCTTCTGCATCCAGTCCAGATGCTCTATCACTGAACAGATCGAGCAAATTAGGTAGATTTCCACTCGTAGCTGTCAACTTTTCCTTTTTCTTGCAAGGAATCCTATTTGGAATAAGAGAATTTACCTTAAAAAAGGGAAACGTTGATAGCTATGTTTCCACTAAATTAATCCCCCCCCACACACCTAATACATTTAAGTGAAGATTGAACCTGGAACCTTTTGTATGCAAAGGCTATGCTGTACCACTGAGCTACAGTACTTAGAAAATTAAATAAGATTTTACTCCTCATGTTTCTGAACCAAAGGCTGAATTGAATAGGAACATAGGAAGCCACCTGATACCGATTCAGAATATTGGTCCATCTGACTCAGTATTGTCTGCACTGAATGGCAATGGCTTTTATGGGGGGCGGGGTGTTAAAGCAGGGAGGGTTCTTCCAGACCTACCTGGGAGAGGTTCTAAGAGCTGAACCTGGGGCTTCAGCATGCACAGCTCAACAGCTGAACAGAGTGGGGGTTTGACTCAGTACAAAGCGGCTTCCTTATCTGCTCATCTCTCAGTAGATCACAATCTAACTTCCGCCCCTCCCCTTCTGGATGGTGTTTGCCGCTTCACACACAGCAGCTGCTGGTGACTGTTTTGAATCCTGGCTAAACCTGTCCTGGGACCATGTTTTTCCAGCTTATCTTTAACAAAATGAACAATCACCCTCTTGGTGTTTATATCAAGGGAAGACAGGCTATTGGAGGGTGAATGAACAGAGGGGTCATTAATTTGCTTTCAGCAAAAAGCCTTACTATTCTGTATATATGCACACCAACCCCTCTCTTGAAAGCCTTGTTATTACTGCATTATGATGGATATCGATTTCAATGCTGCAAAAAAAGGATTGCCGTATTTTTCGCACCATAGGGCGCACCTGACCATAGGGCGCACCTAGTTTTTAGAGGAGGAAAACACACACAAAAATATTCTGAATCAAATGTTGCACTAAACTATTTAAAGCAGCAAAGCGGGCGGCTCCTGTCCGCTTTGCTGCTTTAAATCGAGCCTCAGAGGAGGGTAGGAAGGGGAACTAAGGCTTATCTAAGTCCAGTTAATAATAATAATTGCCTGACTTATGGCCATCAAGATTAGCCTGGCCGTCTCAGTGGAAATCTGGGGAGGCTGAGGTGGACTTTCCAGTGGTCAAAGTGTGGTTGTGTCTTCCTGCCCGGCATCTATTTCCTGCCCTCTTTCCCCCTTGCACCCCCGCACCCTGCTTTGAGGGAAGGAAGCGGAGCCATGGATCCTCTGCTCGCAACTGCAGTGGATTCCCTCCACTTTGAAGCAGGAAAGTGGGAGAGAAGCTGCTTACATGAGTGTAAGCTGCTCCCCTCCCACTTTGCTGCTTCAGAGGGAGCCCAGGAGGAGGGAATCCTCTGCAGCCACAAGCAGAGGATCCATGGTCCCCTTCCTTCCCTCTTCCATGATTGCTTTGAAGCAGGAAAGTGGGAGAGGAGCTGCTTACAGGAGTGTAAGCTGCTCCCCTCCCACTTTGCTGCTTCAAAGGGAGCTGGGGAGGAGGGAATCCGCTGCAGCTTCCCCCACCTCCCGCAGAGCCTGCAGAAGCTGTGAGCTCTTTAAAGGGGCTGTGCGGCTTCTCCTGGCTTTTCTGGAAGGGGGGGATTCCCCCACCTCCCGCAAAACCGGCAGAAGCCGTGAGCTCTTTAAAGGGGCTGCACGGCTTCTCCTGGCTTTTCTACGAGGTGGGAGAAGGGACTGATGCAGCCAGTCAGTCCCTTCTCCCTCCTGGGGAAAAGCCCGCAAGAGCGCACGAAGCTTGTGTGCGGCTCTTGGGGGCTTTTCCCGCCTGCCTCCCCCCTGCATTCGCTCCATAGGACGCACACGCATTTTCCCTTGCTTTTTAGGAGGCAAAAAGTGCATCCTATAGAGCGAAAAATACAGCAAGCTACAGGAGGGGCCGTTCCTAAAACTGCATTCCTTAATGCTGCCACCTGCTGGAGAAAGCCCTCCTTTTTAAAATTGCATCCACTTCGGCTCCTACCTGTTAGGAAAAGGAAAGAGTAGGTAATCAGAACCTCAGGCTTCAGGAGAGCCTTGCCTGGGTTTATCCCCTCACCACAGCTCCATGAGGATGGGGGAGCAGGGCCCAAAATCATCCAGCCGAGTTGATATAGCTTTGCAGCTAATAGAGCGAGTTCCGCGTCAATAAGTCCCTGTTTGAATCTTGCTGCTTCTGTTCGCCTCGTCTTTGAAAGGATATTGCAGAGCTGGAAAACGTTCAGAGAAGGGCAAACAAAATGATTAAGGGGGTGGAGGGACTTCCCTATGAGGAAAGGAAGCAGAATGTGGGACTTTTTGGTTTAGAGCAAAGGCAAGTAAAAGGCAACATGACAGAAGTGTATAAAATTATGCATGACGTGGGAAAAGTGAATAGAGAAATTGTTTTCCCCGTTCTCTGATAACACTAGAATGGGTGGAGATCCAATACAGAGGAATGCTGGAAGATTCAGGACAGGTTTTTTAAAAGCCCTCCACACAGCGTAGAGGCACTCGCTCCCCCAGGAGGCAGTAATGGCCACCAACCTGGATGGCCACCAAGCTAGATGCCTATTGCTGGCTACTGTGCCAGGGGCAGCAATGCTTCTGAATACCACCTGCTGGAAACTGCAGGAGGGGTGGGGGCTCTTGTGCTTGTGCCCTGCTTGTGGTCTTCCCGTTGGGGCATCTGGTTGGTAACTGTGAGAAGAGGATGCTGGATGAGATCAAAGGCGCCCTTTTGATTCAGTCAAGCTGCAGGGCTCTTTGTTACTCCCTTGCGTCCTAGGCTGTCATGTTGATCTTCGCCACTGTTGTAGTGGATGCAGAATCCAGAGGAGATGCAGTCACAGTTGGGACCTCTTCTTCTTCTTTGCAGCCATCTGAGAATGAAGAAATGGGCAACCCCTCGGAGCTGGGGTGGCGACTGCGAGGTTGGGCCTTGGAGAAACTGGAGAGTTCCAAGGAATCAGAGGCCTCCGTCAGCTTGCTGGTCACATCCCAGACTTCTACCAAGGGGGAGCAGATGGCACCACCCATCACGAGGTCCTAGGGGGCTATAAAGTGAGTGAGCAGCTTCCCCAGGGGGGTGACTCTAGTTGGGACCAAGTCCCCAGTGCTCCCTTTGCAGTTATGTGGGTCCAGGCAAGAGAAGCTCGTGCAATTTTATGCTGCGTCAACAGAAGTATAGAGTCCTAAGCAAGGGAAGTGATAGCACCACCCTATTCTGCCTTGGTCAGACTTTGCTTGGAGTCCTGTGTCCAGTTCTGGGCACCTCAGTTTATGAAGGAGATTGACAAGCTGGAATGAGTTGCAAAGGAGGGTGACCAAGATGTGAAAGGGTCTGGAAACCAAGCCTTATGAGGAACAGTTGATGGCGTTTGGGATGTTTATCCTGGAAAAAAGGAGACAGAGAGGAGATAGGATAGCCACCTTCAAATATATAAAGGGCTGTTGCATGGAAGATGGAGCAAGCTTGTTTTCTTATCCTCTGGAGGGTGGGACCTGAACCAATAGCTTCAAGTTAGAAGAAAGTAGATTCCGACCAAACATCAGGAAGAACTTTCTGGTAGTAAGAGCCATTTGATGATGGAACAGTCTCCCTCAGGAGATAGTGGGCTCTCCTTCACTGGAGGTTTTGAAACAGAGATTGGGTGGCCATCTGTCAGGGATTCTTTAGTTGTGATTCTTGCCTTGCACAAAGTTGGACTAGAGGACCTTTGGGGGTCTCTTCAGACTCTACAATTCTATGATTCTATGACTCCAAGGTCTTCTTCCAGGCCCGGAAAGGTCGTGCGAACGCACACCAACCTACATGACTGTGTGGAGATGATTCCAGACCAGGCATGTGGCATCAAAGGCATGGGGGCACTTCTTCAAAGCCCCCCCCGTGTCATTATTGATGTCCTTCTCTTCCTTCTCACCTGCCTCTTTTGCTCAAGACCCTCAGGTCACCTTGCAGCACAAATCTGCATTGACACCACAGCCTGGATGCTGTCCTGAGGGGAAGCAGGCACACAGAGCAAGGTAGCAATTTGGAGCTGGGGTGCACAGTTCAGAAACTGGTTACTTTCTCCTGGTGTATTGCTGTCCCTTTTCCTGAAACCCAAGTAGGCAGGCTGATTAAACCCACAAGACAGAATTCCTCGCTCTGCTGAGGAGGAGGTTAGCTGCGATGCTGGCAGAAAAGGGCTGTCCTGTCAAGCTGGTGCCACAGTGGTGAGCAGCCTCCACTCACTGCCTCCACTCACTTTGGATACCTGCAGAAGCCGAGAGAGAGAGAGAGAGAGAGAGAGAGAGAGAGAGAGAGAGAGAGGTGTTTGTGAGAACAGAGGAAGTAAGAAGCTGCCTTATACAGTTATAACTTGGGTTACAGATGCTTCAGGTTGCATTTTTTTTTTTGGGGTTA